GTAATTATATAAGAACACAACCCTAACAAATTTATGTCTACTTGAGCTCATCGAACGTGCAACTCGACTATCGAGACTTATATCATGAACTATTTTGACCAGCCTTTGAGGGTTAAGTCTTGAGATTCAACCATACACTTAAAAATCCTCGATAAATAGAATGCTTTCTAGTTGCTAGAATAATATTTGTACCTTGGCCAATACAATTTGAGATTTTTCCTGAATGACCATTGATTGTGTAAGCATCTGAAACATCAGGTGCCAAGCCCGACTCCATGGCTGCATTAACCACAGCTTCAACATCCGACTTCCACCACTCCCCTGATCAAATCAGACATCGAATGATTAATTTCTAGTCAAGACCTTGGATATTTTGTCCTACTAGTCAGGCATCTTAGGGTTTGATCTACTACTTTCAAGGGCAGGAAAATGAGATTTTTCATATGAAATAATAAAATTACCGAGATAAAAATGTTATTGAGAAGAATCCCACCTAATATTACCACAACCTCTTTATGGGGTGTTGGAAAAGGGTAAGGTAGTCCAAGCTTAGGCAGGATGACAATGGCTCCATGGACAGTTGCCCTTAACCAAAGAATGTGTGCATGCCAAAAAAGTGTCCCTCTTTGCCCACTCACTGTAAAGTTGTACACATAGCTTTGCCCTGGTTGAATTGGACATTGTGTTATATACGCCGGCCCGTCAGCCCAACCTGTTCGAAGTTGCCTTATCCCATGCCTGCATTTCAAGAAATAATATGCCTAAAAACTTCAATGTCATATTGAGTTCAATCTAGGTAAACTCGACCCCCAACTAGACTCTCTGGTCTCTAGAACTCGATAACTTGACTAGCTCTGGTCAGTCTCTTCTAAATTGCTTCAGTTACCAGTATTTTTTTGTACATTTTTGGGCATAAGGTATTGGAAACCTAAATGAAAGATTGATGATTAAGTGCATACCAGTGAATGCTCATGTTATAATTGACGTGGTTGACGACCTTGATTAACACGGTGTCATCTTCCCTTGCATAGATAGTGGGACCTGGGAAACGACCATTGATTGTCACAATGGACTTACTTGAACACAATCTTGTCGTTGTCCTCATTACTACCTGCGTGAATAAATTGTCAAAAAAATTGAGCATACAAGATTAATATAAGATAGGTAGGTGTGAAATTTAAGTTTGATTCTTTTCCTATTTCTTTTTT